AAAACAAAATAGAAATAGCATAAAAATTCTAAATAATTACTAGTTGTATACCTATCGTATATCTATTTTGATTCCTGAATTCATTATATTTACAAATATGTTAATTATATATTTTAATTTATGATAATATATCCTAATCGGATCCAATATGTTCGAACTAAAATGGTTTAATCGCATACAATAAATTATAAATTAACATATTATTATGATAGATGTTTTATAAAAAGTAGAATAAATAATTAATTGAATGCAATTCTATAATAAAGCAAAACTGTATTTTTAGTGCACCTCACCATTGAGTAGTAGTTATTTTTAGTGCATGGTAAAAATGATATTTCGTCAGCCTTTATAACTTATACGTAATACAGTCCAGATGAATTTATATTTTCCAAAACATCATATGTTATATATAATAAAAAGTATAATACACATAATTATATTTTATTATTAATATTTGATTATAAGTTATAAAAGTCAATACTAACGTAAATATGATCTTGGTATAAATAGTTCGAAATTAGTAAAAATGTTTAGTAAATAATTGCGTTGTTTAAATAATATAATGGTACAAGAGTCAAAGTAGATTTTTCAAATTACATTGATAAATACATTTTAAATAATGAACAAAATATCAAAATATTCAATTGTYATATAGTTCATTGAATATCCAATTTTGTTACTTATAGACGGTTTTGTCTAGACTTAATCGTCTTTTTCTAAATTCCAGAACTTGAAGAAGTTTATATCATTGTATTTTTTAACTTTTTAACTTACAAACATACATATTATTACAAATATATATATTTATATACATATATATATTTATATACATATATATATATATATTCATCATCCCACTTAGGATATATATATTTAATTTATATCATATATCAATCTTAGGTACATTATCTAGAAGATATTTTTGGAAACAGTAAACATTTTTAATGTTTTAAAAACAAAAAACATAATACGTATTTAATGGCTATGTAAAAGTGTCCAATATTAAAAAATTTAATAATTATCGAATGATTATTTAGATTTAAAAATTGTATGTGAAGCAATATTTTATTTTAAATCAATGTGTTTTAAATTCAATATTTTTAACTTGAACACATTGTGCACGTCAGTTGTAAAATTAATGTTTCTTGAGTTTAAAATTTACTTTTCATTTGTTTATTGTTTTTCTCTTATATAGAAACAACACCAAAATAAGGAAGAATACGATTTGTAACTTTGTGAACTATCTTTGTATATATAAGGCTGTGAGACTTTTGAAACCATGACATATCTATGTATATTATATGCATATTATAATTCACTGTCAAAACAAATACCTTTTGTTCCTAACCAAAAACTTTAAATTCGAGAATTGTTCAGAATTCAAATAATTGATGGCATTAATCTATTATAATATCCTGTTTAAGTATTATTACAATATGAGAATTAGATACAAAAATAATTTAATCATTCGTTAATAAAAATTGTGAAAAAACTTTAGTTCGGCTTTATTTCAAATGTTTACATTTGGGTTATTGATGAAAAAARAATTGAAATGTAGTTTAATTAAATTTAATAAGTACTGATAAAACTGTGCATATATTAGGATTTGAATGTAACACGCCATTGATTAGGTCGTTTTTGTGATTAATGTGTTAAACTTTAATAAAACGATAAATCATTGAGTACAAATAATGATTTTAAGATATTCATCTTTTCGTTGTGTTAGTCTTAACTAACAAGTAATATATTAGTAATTGTATATTAGCAATTCATTTTTCTATTCATACAAATCAGTTCAACTATTTTTTTTTTCTTTTTAACATTTCTATCATTATATTATAATATAATATTATTAGTTATTACACAATATGATATCACAYATATATATATTGATATTAACTTATAGTTGACATTTTTTTCTAATAGATAAATTTAAAAAAAAAATTGTAAAACAAAGATTATGTTSAAACAATTAAAACATGAAAAAAAGATATTTTATGGTACCTTAACACCAAGGTGTACTAAAAAAGGATATGTAAAAATTAAAGAGATATTCACATAGCCACACAAGGGTTTTGAGATTTACTATGGAAATCAGTGGCGTGCAGATCCCTTTTTCCATGTGGGGCAGTTAATTATTTTACACCCACCGTCCACCCAAAACTAAAAGTTATAAATAATATATGTTTTATTAAGGGCCTTTATACAGTTATATGAAAACACAATATTTATTAAATAAAAAAAAACCCCACATCCACCCCATTTTCAAGTTGTGCCTAGGCCCCATTTGTGTTTTATCTGCACGCCACTGATGGAAATCGATATTTTTTTTAAATAGTTATGTCTGGTTACATATAATTTTAGCTTGTATTCGATATTTGGCAGCAATATCTTTTACTTGCTTAGATTAAATTATTAATCACCGCATATTTGTTTTATTATGTTACCACTTGGTTACGAGTAGGAAAAAAATTCTTACTCCATCCAATGATTTAATATTAAAAATTGTCTTTTAATTCTGAACAACATTACACCGAATATTAAATAACGAATTGAACATAGTTTGAATCATATAAAAGATKTCATATTTTATGAAAGACAAATTTTAACACAGATGTAGGTATACGACTTAAAATTATGTGTATTGGTGAAATTTCCTTACAGTTAATATGTATTGAATAACGCCATAATTATTAAAATATCCAGTTTAATTTATAAAACTCAATTCGTCCTTATTCAAGACATATACATCATTTCAATTTGGGATTTAAACTGAAGCGGCAATCTTTAAATTTAAACCTATATATTTATATAGGTAATATTGGATTTTTACTTTGCTTTTATCGATTTTAATTTTTTTATTGTACAAGCCCTTGAAAACTTTGAAAATTGTTACTCTGAAGAGTTTTAACTAACTATTTAACTTTTAAGGTTTATAATAGTGACATTATACTGTGTAGTGTTGACATAGTATTTTGTTTGCACGGCGACGACGTGCGTCAATGGCTTAAACAGTCAAAATTTAATCGAAACATATAGATTATTAGTATAAGTGCGAGTATTGGTAACGTATTATGTATAAACTATTCAAACATGGTCGCCTTTGAATGCGAATAACAAAAAACGAATACACATAGATATAATAATATTAACGGTGTCACACAACCTTCTGATACGATTTGCAAGCAAACACAATATTATAGCTGCGGAAATCTTCAAATCCGAACCTTTATGTTATACAGTCGAACTTAGTTAACTCGAAGTTTAAAATACCGTCCAAGAAGTTCAAGTTATCCATGAATTCGAGCTATTCAAGGATAATATAATAATAGGAAATACTAAAGACCGGGAAAAAGTTTGAGGTATCGAAGATTTCAAGTTAACCAAGTTAGACTGTATTACACTATCGCATTTGTGGTGAATTTATTTTTATTTCACAAGCATTCATATCGATGTGTAATACAAACATTCAGTGGAAACTTCAACGAGTTGTTAGGATAAAATAGTGATATTATAATATTATAACGGCGCAGAGCTGACATAATAATATTTCGTTCGCATGACGACGACGTGCGTTAACTGTTGTTAGTGCTTAAACAGTCGTAAATCTTAACGCTTATTATTAGTACGTGCGAATATAATGCGTTACATTTCAAAAGTATACGCACATAACGTAGTATAGATAGGTAAGCAAAAATCGGTTGGAGAAACTAAATATATAATATATATAAATGATCCGGACACAGTTGCCACTTTATGCAAACAATAAAAAAACGAAGAAGTAGCTATAACACGTAATATTATTACGATAGGAGAAAAATTTCTTGTTACAACGACCGCACACGGATTCGTTATATATTATTAACAGATGGTTGTACATATATATATATATATATAACGACTTGTTACTATACATTATATTACTATTATATATATATATATATATATTATATATACACGGGATGGTGAGCCATGCTTCGAAGATAAATACGATATTTTACTATCGTTATTACCGTTATTATTATTATTTTTCCTCACGCCAACCGAAGAGAGAAACATCCGTTTGGTGTGAGATGACGACGGGCAAAATATTATGTACAACATTAAGATAAAGCTGACGGGCAGAAGACATCATTTTCGGCTATGTATATTGTATATAATATATTTTGTTTCTGGTATATACCTATAGTAATAATAATAACAACAACAATAACACGAGACTTTATAATATTATATTATGTATAGTGCCGTGATATTGTACCGAAAACACAAAAAAAAACATTCTGTCACTTTCCTTTAATAATCAATGATGGAGAAAAATCTATTCACAGCAAACTTGATTAAACATTGTTTATAAATATTTGTGATATTTTAAATTACAGTAAAACCTCACTAGGATGGAATCACTTAATATCGTCCAATTTTTCCGTCTTAATGGAGTTTCTGACTTGACGAGAGGCTCATATTCATTATGTATTTTAATTGGCACCAAAAAAATTGTTCGTATTATCGGGGTTTCTATTTTACAGAATTTCTGTCTTACTGAAGTTTTACTGTCTTTAAAATCTTTTTTAGAACCACTAGAACCCCAAATATATCTTGTTTAATTATTTAATCTTATCTGTATGTCACATTTATAGTTATAAATGATTCACTAGTGTTTCGAAGCTCTACCAGGGATATACATTACATCGATAATATAAAATAAATAGCTTAGAATTTGAATTTATGAAAAATTATCATCGTTAATTGAATCGGGTTTTCAGCGAGATTTTCTCGGATACGTGGGAAATTTTAAAAAGCAAATATTTACCTACCTATTAAAAAATACGATAGATTTTTCTATAAAAAAAAACAGGATTTAAGTCGTATGATAAGGTTGTTAATGTAGGATTACACTCCTTCAACCACCGAAAAATCAAAACATTCCACTTCAATTTAACGTTATAATAATAACGACGATAATACATTAATCTTAATAAAACTATTGTGCAACTTACCCAAGACAATCGCCAAGGTTTTCGTGGCTTTTCTCTCTTTCCTCGCCGAAGACTTTTCCCGTTTTTTCCGGCTTGCCTTGTTCACTTTGTATATGGTGAAGCGGCTGCTTCCTTCTGTTGTGGTCTTGTACTCTTTTTTTGAACACCTCGAACCGTCCTCCTCGGATCCGTTTCGAAGCATTGACGACAGCGAACGTTTCACCAGTGACTGTGTCGTTCTAGTAGAACGGTCTATCGGCTGCGGCACGGCCATTGGGGTGACTGCGGTGGCCGCGGCCGTGACCGTGGTGGTCAATGTCGCTGACGCCGTGGTCATTGTGATTGGTGACAACGCTGCCGAGGAATCTCTGCGCTTTCCTGGTACCTAAATCAGGGTAAACCCACTCGTACATTATTTATATAGCAAAACCTTGTGGCGGTGGTCCATAACTTGTTTTTGTGGGTCTGAACGATGAAAAAAGTATGAATTATATTTAAACATTATAGGACTTTCTAAATTGAACAAAGTTTTGTAATCCTAGGTTCGGTGAGTTTTTGGTTCCGAAATAAAGCCGAAGTGTCATCGTTACTAGTTTTACACAAACTTCGTTAAAACAGTTGCATAGCCGTGATGGTGATTCGTTAAAGATTATGCGTAGAAGGTTAGGGAACGGATTTATACTTGTAATATTATGTAAATTTTAAAACCATAATTTTATCAGATCCAGATGTTTTAAATCTGATAAGAAATATGCACGGTAAAATGGCACGCACTTGACTCAGGGGCGTATTTAGATTTTTTTGGGGAGGGGGCTGTGGTATTTTCTCCAATTGAAATTCCCAATTTATTCCGCTTATATGAGTTAGAAAATTTACATTTGATAGGACATAATAAGCAGGCTACATAAACAATTCCTGGATTTCGGGGGGGAGGGGGGCTGAAGCCCCTTCAGCCACCCCCATAAATACGCCCCTGACTTGACTTAATATTTTGCATGTTTAGTGTTATAATATTGTCAAGCTGTACCTATAGCAATTAAGTGTGTAATTTGAGACGATATAATAAAATACATATTTTAAATGAACACGGTGATAATCCATGTCAAACGATTGAAAGAAATAATTATTTTGAATACATGTCGATTGATTTTTTTAAATGAGATTATGATAATTTTTTAATTGAAGAATGAAAARTTCACATTTTCTATGTACATGCTAGAATACTAGAATATTTATATATCACTGAACTCATTATGAAAACAAATTATATTTTTTTTTTTCAGACATTAGGTATTGAATCATGTAGCGATATTATGATTGTTTGTGATTTATTTTTTAACTTAGCCAGATCTTAGATCTCCTCTTTGTTTAAATTATTTTAATAGAATTAATAAAAATGAAAAAAAAATATCAGGAAACCACTACAATACTACATATAAATAATGCACAGTGATTCATCCAAAAAATTYCACCAACATTTTTGAATTATTTTGTTATTTAAATTTTCTTTAATAAACCACACTTTGATGTTCTTACATTAGATTTGTGTGTGATTTTTAGGAGTGTTCTTTGGAAATACAAACTATTTTTTGTTAGATGATAACCACTCCTTTTTTTATAAATTACGTAAATTAAGATTAATATTCTATTGAAAACTATTGCGATATATTTTATTATATTATTGTATTTGGACAAGTAGTTTACTAGTGATTTTAATTATAATATGGACCATTAAACATAATAATATGTACAGAGATATGGGGATATTATAATGATAATAYGAGGAACGGGACTTTGCCAATTCGAAAAACAAAGAAATCAATTATTAAAATTTAATAATTTATAAAAATTGTCCAATTATAAATGTAAGTACTTTAGTACATAAACTTTAATAACTCAGAAACTCATTCAAAATTTGATTAATATGGTGCACTAACGTTATAAAAAGAATCATCTAAATAACAATTTTCATTAAAAATGGAGGGAGGGCTTCACATGAAAATAAAAAATCGTTAGCGCTCTTATCGTCGCTGGATACTACCTATCATTATACTACACAAATGGTAATATGGAATTATAATAAAATTCTATAAACCAGAATTCGAATACAAACATAAATATATTATTAAAGCAAAATCATAAATGCGCATGCTTGACTATTCACCAAATATATTATTTCTTACCAAATACCTTTCTGTTAAAATCCTGCATGTATATCAAGCGTACTTTGTAATATGATAGTTTAAAATAATTTTTTTTTTTAAATGTGATTTTACCTTATCACCGATTTTGTCGCTAATGGAGCTGACTGTTTGGTTAGGGTTCAAGACCCTTGTTACAAGATCGATATCCTGTGGTCTGGAACCCAAGTTTCCGTTTGGGTCGGCAGTTAGGTTGGATGGCGTGGCTAACGTCGCCACCATCCTGCAACACAAATATTTAGCTCAATATAGGTACTTTGTAGCAGGTTATAGTATAATAGTAGACTCGTTATCTCGGGAGGCATATTATATATTATTATTGTGTCGAGAAAACAATGCAATGGATGAAGCAGTGATGTAACGTATAATACAATATATATATATATATATATATATATAGTAATGCAAAGTGCGAATAAGGACAGTTCATAAATCTAATTTATACCGTCCAGCTTAAGTGTTACATTATTTATCAGGGATTTATTCTTTAGGTATTATATGCTTCTAAAATGTACTGTAAGGTGCAAAATAATGTAGACTTATATCTCGACGGTTTTTATTTCTACTACCGAGTTGTTGTAGATGAAGTGCAAAATGAATGCTCAACGTTATTCATAAAAATAATTTTTCACTTAACGCCAAACAATCTGATGCTGCATCTACCAGTGAAGTAACTTGAGTTGGCACAGAGAGAATGTACCACTCCTCAAATTATTTTTTAAGAACAACAGCGTCATTATCTTTATAACGACAGGTGATAAGTATTCTACGAGTATTTTCACAAAAACTAGAGAAAAATGAAGTTCTCCTCCTCCTCCTCCTCCTCCTCAAAAAAATTCTAGCTTCGGCACTGACACTGTCTATCTATAATTGATCTACAGAAAAACAGGCTGATATATCTCCTACTAATACTGCTACTTCAGAGAAAATGGGCTCGTGAAAAATTAATATTATCAGCGTACTTATACTCGGAGACGTAATAAAGTTTAGTATGCCATCGCGTGGAAAACTTTTTCAATTTTCTCACGGCAGCGATCGGTGCTCGATTCAATTAAAATAACAATTATCGTTCGATAAAACATCTAAAGCGATTGTTGAATTGAAACGTCTCAAGTTGGACGCTACAGCACAATCACATCGATCGCGCAGAGATGGACGACGGCGACGACGACGACTACGATAATTATTATTGCAATTATTATTATTATTGTAATAACGATCGTCCGCGTTCCGTCGAATCGTCTTCGCACTGTAAACTCGGAAGGGGTCTAAACACACCGCGTACATCCGGCCGGTCCGACACGACTACCCGGTGATGAGCGATTATTATTTGCAGTCATTATATTGAAAATGATAGCTAGTTTTGATCGTKTGCGCGAGGGCAATAAGCCAACCGCRGTGGCGGGTGTGTACGTCCGACCRCGATTAAACGGGACGAAAAGTCTCATCAAAGCACCGAGTCGTTCCCACGCTGACTTTCCATTATTTCATGCCTCGTACGCTTACAGTTCGGCGGTTATCGTTGTCATCGTCTCCACTTCTGGGAAGTTTTAGTTTTAGTGTCGACCCATTTGAACGGTTCTCCGCGCACCACTCTAACGGTCCGTTAGTAACGGACGACCGAGGATCGACGCTAAGTTATAACTTTTAGTTTATTCACGCCGCGTCAGGAAATATGAATTATTATTATTATTATTCCTTTAGGAATCGACACGTTATATTCATACAAAAATATCGTATTATGGCTACATGGAAAATTGTTTTTTACATCAATGCGATGATCCGAGTAACAGTCTTCGGTCTTAATCTCCCGAGAGATTCGTGAACGGTCACAATATTCCTCTCAAGTCAAGTTTGTACTATATTATAAATACATTGAATTCATTTCCACTTTTTTAACATTACAAACCTTAAAATCGAAATGAAAATGTACGGTTTTAATTTCAATTTTATAATTTTGTACAATTACATTTGAATTCTTAGATGGTTTTTAACGATACGATATTTCAAATTATTAATTTATATTTTCAGATTAAGGTTTATTATTTTTAATATTTCACATTACTACTTAACCAATGTATACAAATAGACAGATTAAAATAATTAAACTCCGTTGGAAAGTTTGAGTTGGGGACAAGATTTCTAATCTAATAATGTTTATGTACAAATAAAATCAACAAAATGTGATGCACAATAAAAAATATATGGTAATTAATAAGTATATAAATATTATAAGCCCTGTGGCCGGATTTGAAATATTAAATATTATGTTTGTTTGATAACGTAGACAATAAAAAAAAGACAATAATATAAGCATTCAAAAACACACCCACATGTGCACAAATAAATACCTATTGTTAGTTGAAGATAATGGGTAAAGGATTTTGGTAGTATATTAAAGACAGGCTCAAAATACAAACAGAATATAAAACACAAAATTATCTATACGATCGACATAAATATAGTTAGGAAATGTATAAGTCATGTGCGTTTGTTACTCATCAATATAATATATACATATACTATATAAAGTATACAATTATCCATGCATATTTGAATATTTCATTTTATTTTTAAAAGCTTATTTTAACATAAACGTTTTGTTTATCATTCCAAGTGCCCACAATTTAATTGTAAAAGAAGAAATTATTATTATTTTTTTAAATTAGTTTCTAAAAATGCTTTTTTATACTCTGGAATTGCAAACTCGGGCAAAAAAAACATTATTATTATTATTTCTAAATTATATAGCTTGAATTGTTGTGTTAACTTTGATGGTTCATGATAAAAAATATATGTTTAAGTGAAATACCGACAGAGACATTTTGTTGTTAGTTCACGAAAATCCATAAAAAGTTATATTTATTATTCAACATGAATGTTCATTTTCATATTGAATAATATAATTTCAATAATTATTTTACATACATAAATGTCAAATGGGTTGTTCAATATTTTCAGAAAGCTGTACAAACCATAAATAAGATTGTTGTTTTTAATTTAATAAAATAGCTTATCTAGACACATAACTTTTGTTTATGCGAATTTCCTATTTCAGGGTTTAATTTTTTTAATTAATTATAGTGGAATTCAACTTAATTATAAAACAATTTTAAGGTTTGTTCAAACAAAATATTAAATATACTGTATCTACTGAAACTAAAATGTATTTAGTATATTTTATAAACTATAATTTTAAATTCTATGACTTTTTCAGTGTTAGTTATCAAGTCGCTGGATAATTTGTAAAAACCTCTCAATTACTGCGACACAACTTATTATATAAATTATTTAACTTATTGTCAATAATTAATATAATATTATAATTACAATTTAATTAATCAAAATCTTATAACAATTTAACAATTTAAAAATGATTTAATATTTTATTTTGTCTAAATGAAAGAAAGTTCAATGATATTTTAATAATTGGAAAGGGTATTTGAGAACATAATAGACATTGTATAATATAAAAACTATAATTTACTATTTTATTTATTTGAAAAACGATCTAATACAAATTTTTTCTAATTTTTTTATGTAAACTATTAAACACTTCTATAACTATAGAATTAAGATTTAAAAACTGATCTAGATTTCAATATTGATATAAATTTTTTTTGTGAATTAAAGGTAGTGTCCGAGTTGCGGTCGCAATAGATGAATTTCGGTCGTAATAATATTGAAGTTAAAATCACCGTCTTAATTGCGGTCCGTATTCGGTTATCGATTATCGATTATCCGATAAGCTCTTATCCAAAATCCAAATTGTAGTCGGACTTTATTTCGTTTAGTTCACTGCAAGACGTTGTCATATTGGCAAATTTTAATAAAATTGGGTTTATTTTAAAAATGTCACAAATTACGAAAATTTATAGTGAAAAGGGAAAACTTTTACTTGTATTAAATAATTTTAAATTTAGACAGTACCGTTCTTTAAAAACGGGAGAAATGTCCTGGAGTTGCACGCATAAAAACTGTAATGCAAAACTATATATTATCGGCGAAGAACACGTGTTTTCTAGAACGATAAATGATCATTCAAATCACGAAACAGATCCTATTCAAATATTAAATAGACAAAAAATAAATAACTCTGTGAAAAGGAAGGCTGATGAATTATCATTTTCGGAAAATCCAAGGACAATAATTCATCTAGAGGTGGAGAAAGATGTTAATATTTTGAATGCAAACAGAAAGAGACATGATTCGCATAGGTAAATAAATAAATCAAATTATATTTTAAAACAAAAACGCTAATCACTGTAAATACTTGAAATTTTCACCAAATTTTTATATTACTGTTATCTATACACAGTTAAATTAAATTAAAAATATTATGACTTTTTTGAACTAATTTTATTCGATAGATAAATGTGTATTTTAAATGTAATTATATTATAACTGAATGTGTAAGTGTAACTATAAATTTGTATTTTGAATCTATTGACTAGCTGGCATTTGTTAAACACGTATTTTGAATCTAACCGTAGCACAATAACATTTAACTATATCAATATTTAAAATATAATAATTAAATAATAATTAATATTAATCATGTTTCCCAACCGAAACTAGATTTTATTTGTGTTTTACCTGTTTAGATTCCGACCGTAACTCGGATTTTTTTTCCTATTTTAATCCCGACCGCAACTCGGTATCAACCGAATTAAAGCTATCTTAAATGATTTTGAATTAAATAATAATATTATCTGTAACTTTTGGCTGACCAAAACGTATAATATTTAGAAATCATAATCCATCTATTGCTATATTATTTCATTAGTCATTTTCAACATTAATTTATTATGAACGTGAACCATTAATGGTATTTATATATTATGTTTTTCTCAGGTTTTACATCACATCATGTATCAACATAGTTTAGTAACGTTGTTCGTTGATTAAAATAATATGAAATTTAAATGTTCTATGAAAATAAAACTCAAGAAATAAAACGATTAATACTTTAACTATATGTTATTTATTATATTTAAAATAATTTTCTAACAGGGAACGACATTTTCAACTGATAAAATGTGTGTAGTTCCGAATCACCAACAATGTAAATTCACTCATCCATATACTAGGAAATCTATAATCTACGATTTGGTGTTTCAAATAACTGTATCTCTGAATTTTCAAAATTAAATAATAATTTAATTGAAATCGGATCTACAGTTTAATAGAAGAGTTTCAAATATTCAATCAATTATGATATTAGCGCGTAGAAGAACCTTAACTGAGAGGCCTCTAAGATCAGTCTAATCTGTAATTTTGTTTTTATTTTTATTAACTATTCCATCAGCCATCAATTGTTCTTATCATTCTAATTTGTAACAGATTGAATAAAAACTCTTATGAAACAAAACAAAAATAAAAAATATTAGCCACAAGTACCACAACATTACGTAAGATTTACACTTACGCGGTTTCTTCCATGACCGTGGACAGGATAAAATCTGTAGATTTGTCGTTATGTATGATGTGACAGTCATCCGAGCCGGGTGATCCGCCCTCTTCTTCGTCGTCCTGTTAACACAAAAAATCCATTAAAACACTCCGAAAACATACGCGTTATTATGTGTGTTATAATGATAAAAGAGGGCATTGAGTGACCCGCTCAGTCAAGTTTGTTGTATACGTATACTGATATACAACAAGGATTTTTTTTTATACACATAATATCGTTCAAATTAAATGAGATCTAAAAGTATTTTTTTTTTTTTTTTTTTTTTTTTTAATCAGCTCAAAAGTTTATGCGTATATTTATAATATCTAGGTAGCTTATATATAATAGAACTAATTGTGCAATATAAACCCGACGAAACATTGTTCACATTAGACATTATAATATAATAATTAATAGGTATATTATAATTACCCAACATAGGTATAAACAAATTTATTTTTGTTAATTTCCAGGTACAAAATAACTCAAAATTTTTGCCAGAAGAATAACGAACATTTATAAGGTTAATATGATATTGATGTCGTTTGATATATCGATAAAACTAAGACACTTTCTATATTCTGCTTGTATATGGCAATTTATTTAAGTTTAATCTTCGCAGGCAAATTCAGGAGATGTCACAAGAAATAAATTATTGTAAGTATGACCCGAATATATGTGGTGTATTCAGTATTTTGTCAAAAAACTTACCTAATTTGTATTTTATTTATTTTCTCTTTCATAGGTACTATGTATTTTCCATTTTTTCATAATATGTATTATTTACTAGTGAACAAGTCTGAGTAACTAAAAAATATAGTATTCTGTTTGATGTATTTTAAAAACTTTTAATCCAACCAATATTAAAGACTAAAGATCTTAATTCAACAAAATAATTATATTCTCGGGAATAATAGTATACTATAATAGTCGTTCAGAAACTTTACTGCACCTACTAAAATATTATTATAATGCAATATTTAATAAACGAAATCAATAATTCTATGTATTGACTAACCTAAAACAATTCAAGTTCAACTGATTCTATAAAAATCGGACTAATTATATTTTAATAATACAATAAGCCTTCTTCGGCAACCAGAGCGAACACTCGTTTATTTCTATAAAAATATAATAGGAGTTAAATGACATTGTGTTTACAGGTTTGGTATAAAATTGCTTCTAATTTTATTTTATATTTGAATTATTTATTTACTAAGATTTGAAAAAATAACCATATAAAGATTATAATTAATGTGTATCATGAATTATGAAGCATTGAATATTTAGAAAATATTTGTGAATTAATAGTGTTAAGCGTGATTTACTGTGTATTTTTACTAAAATAATATAATCAAATTGATGTATGATGGAAACTTTTCCAAGTAATACATTAGAAACCTACGGTTCCCTTGTATATTTTTGCTTCAACAATAACAATAAGAATAAGACCAAGACGAATAAGTAGAATACGTAATAATATATTATATTACTAATGAAGAACATAATATTCTTCTCACATTCACATTCCCCGAGGAATTTTAAAAGTATTTCTTAACATTATAATTTTTAAAACTCAAATTATGTGAAGCACATTGTATGAGATATGTTTTTCTATATAAATATCTATTATATACATATTTCTGTAGTAGTATTTTAGAACATAGGTGTTTTATTGTTAATTGAATTGCGTTGCGTTTAAATCATGATGGATAAATAATGATACATTTTAAGCAGTTTGACAATGAACTTTTTTTCTTTAAATAATTTAGTTTAATTTTTGGATGTGTGATATGTTTGAATAACTATTTACATTTACATGTGCGTACATTATTTATAATTAACTATAATAGAATTTAAATTATTGATATTAAATTATTCATTTAAACTACAGTTATTATAGCTAGACACATTTAGTAATGTAGTATTTTGTAATACAGTATTATTTACTTCACAGTATATTGTATGTTTTTACAGGTATGAAAGTTACAATAATCTATATTTTCATTAAATTAAAAATAAATAAATATAATTTTTCAAATAACTTTATTCTATATTTTTATTTTTAGATTGAAAAAATTACAATCCTTCAAAATCAGCCAACTATATTTACAGCTACATATTAATTTTTTTCGGATATTCAATAAACTTTTTTATGCATATTTTGTTATTTTATTGTGTATATTTTGGCATTTTTAGCTCCTATAACTTCCGAGCCATGCATTATATGTCATAATGTACATAATACATTTTAAAAATAAATTTAATTTTTTTTCCAAATTTTCATATCAAACATATTTAAATTGAGTTTATGTTTTAAATTAAACTTTTAAATAACTTTTAGATTTTAATATTATTAAAATTATTATTTATATTATTATGTACATGTTTTAAATTTTAAATGCAACTTGTTTAGAAACCTAAAATAGTTATTTATTTTTTGTTTCAAAGGCCAGAAATAATCAAAAATTCAATGAATTTAAAATATATCTATACAACCTAAATATAATATGTAAAGTAGCCTATAAAATATTAATTATTACCTACATTTTTTCAGACCATACGAATATACAATCATAATAGGCGTTGTTATTCTACATTTATATTTGTGCTTGATCAGTGCACATACTTTATCACTAAATATTCAAAACATGTACTTATTATATCGGCCAGTAGTTTCCAAACTTTTTATTTTTACCAATAATATAAAAAAATCCACTTACTTAATATACAGGTATAAAATATAAACACATATAAATAAGACAATGCAAGAAGTATAAAATGTGTATAAAATCATCTCAATGTTAATTCCAATTAAAATTTTCTGACCCTTTGCATAGACTTTAGACCACCATCGGATTTCCGGTATCACGTTTCTCGTAGCACAAAAGTAGACTTCATGAGTTGGGAATTGCTGACATAGGCTTTTATTTAAAACATTTAAAATGCCAACTAATATTTATAAGAGTGAACAAATATTTAATTTTTTTTTATAAAATTAATAAACATGGTGCAGTTTTTTTTAACCCCCCCCCCCTCCCCCCATATACAGAGCAAAAAAAAATATAAGGATTTTAACAGGATATTATATTCTGGGGGATGTTTTTCATTATTTTTACTCCATTTAATGTATAAACATCATAGTCTAATGTAGTTTATCGCAACATGTACACAACAAATAACAATTCAGACAAATATAAAGTTTCTGTTTGAGTGTTGTTTTTCATAAACTACAAGCATAAAATCCGATCCATTATTATTTTAAATATCAGTGTCCGTATTAATAAAATATGTTTATACGACATCCATCATTTAATTCAACTATAAATTCACCAATGACAAGTACCAAAACATTGTAATCATAAAAAAAATACATTGTAACTAACAAACTTTGTCACCAACCCGTTCCCAGGATAAGTATTATAACCATTACCTGTTGAAATTGATAAGTATACATATGTGATGTATATTATACATAATGTATTACTACTGTTATTAATTTTGGTCTCAATTATAATTATAATATGTTTAATACCTAAACACGCATGTATTACAATAGGATCAACATTGTTATAAATCGAAACATGTAAGTTTACTATTTTGATGCGCATATTTTAATACCTGACTTCCGCTTCCGGTGTTGGTTGGCCCTTCATCAATTATGGATGAACTTCCGGGCGCTAATGAGGCTGTAGCAAGCAACGTGGTCTCGGCCAGTCGTCTCCTGGTCTGTGCAACGTTTTCAATGATGATACCCGGTTTCATATCTCTGCTTAGCTGCGGTCTTCTTGCCGCCTTTGCTTTTCTCGCTCTGAGATTTAATGCCTGAAACAAACATAAAACATTAGATAGTATTTATATCATTTTAACTGAAAGCTACTTATATTATAATGGTACATTAAACATTGACTTAGTATTAGTGAAATAACGTTATATTTCCGTACCAAAATGACATATTATATAACATACATTAGATCTTTTGAGAACATAAGTAAAATTATTTTGTTCGTTTATATATTGTATTATATCCTATTTTGTGTACAATGTGTATTAAAAATTAAAATGAATAGTTAACTTCTTGATATCCAATTTTATTTTAACAATAACGTCTTTATTGTTTATTACTTATCATTCAAATAATCGAAAAATATGATATATAAAAGGATATTTTAGGTAATTGTTAAGTATATTACTTGTATACGACGACGTGAGTGTAGCCGAATGAACGGAAAATAACTATAATTAATAGCATTAATAATATTGGGTCTATTATTAATAACGAAGATCCTTATAAATATTTATAAGGGATATATAAAGAATTTAAGAAAGCAGAGGTAAACATAATAACAATAGTCAGTAAAAAATGATCAGTATTCATCGAATCGACGAATGGTAAGTGTTCCAGAGTTAGGTATATTTTATTCAGTTTTCTTGACTGTATAGTATATAATATACTAAAAATAAAATATATACTTTACAGATGATATTCGGTCGCAGATATTCGKCTAATCATAAAAAATAAAACTGAATTATAAGATTTAATACCATAAATGTTTGGAAATAAATTAAATTTGATGTCTTAAAAAAATCTAAAATATACATAACGATAAAAACTTMATTTCATTATATTAATTTCATAACTGTAAAATGTAAAGTATTATGTTTACATTTAAACTTTTTTCTGAAATTGATAATATTAATAGTATTGGTGTATGATTGTTGATGAATATCATATGTACTGTAAATACATTTAATACATTTCCAATTAAAATTAGATACCAATACTTATATCATATATTATAAAACATGTGTAAATGTGTTAAAGTGAAGTCATTGTAAAATATTCAAATATATTATAAAGGTTCAATGTCTGATTGTATGATATAGGCAAACCCTCCTAGTTAGTAAGCATTAAAAAGCTAAATGTGCGTTTCGATACAACAAATTATATCACATAAATTAAACAAAATCAATGGCTATCTTTGAAAATTACACGCAATCATGAAAATGTTAAATATACAACATAAATTATGGGTATCTCACTAAAATTACATACCTAAATAATGTATAATAAAACACATTTAATTTAATTTAATTCATTATTATTAGATGTTATTATTTTTATTGAACCAAAACGTATCACCCATCTGTGATACAATATAATTCATCTTTATTTGATTGAAACATTGTATTTTACATTTAATGAGTGGTGTCTTTTTTAAACATATATGAAACATTTGATTGAAAGTTTTAAAAAATTATCATAGTGGCATACATCAATTTGAATTTTTACTCAGAAGCTACCTTAGGCAGGTTATTACTTATTGTTTATGGAAATTAGCAGTATTTTCTTTCAGGAAATAATGAAAAGGTACAATATACGACATAACCGCTTTACAGCAGATCTAAGTTATAGCATTGTAATATATTTGAAAGTAATTCTGAGTAAATACCTTATAAAATAATTATTTAGGCACTTCAATCCCGTATTAATTTCACCATCAGGATTAAGAAATCTTAAGAAGTTTTTTCAACTTTCTTTAAAGTGAATTTCTTCAAAAATGTTTCAATTTTTTATATACAAACATGGTTGTTTTACTACGCGATCCTAGAATTTGCTTAAGAAATTAAAATAAGTCAATTGAAGACAGTTCTTCCTTCTCTAAATATATACATAATATACTGTAGTCACGTATTAAACTTATATAGCTGTTACAAATTCCTGGAACGAAGAAATTCAAAAATATAATAATATACAAGTGTTTTATTTCATAGTATATAATATGTATATGTTCATATAATATATAAATTTCCCTCCAAAATAGCAACAGCTTAGTTATTATTGTAAAATATTTTATTTTTGAATGCAAATAAATTCCATCGCATATTTAACCACATTTCGATCGGATATACGAACGGTATCTACCTAATCATATGAGACGGTTGGCATAGTGCACTCCGGGGAACAGTAGAGCTGACATTTGTGTAAATGCGTACACAGAACTGTTGAAAAAACACTCGCGGGACGCTAAATTTATAGAGGGGTAGACATGTGAGTATGGTGTAAATTAAATTATATACTGAATTAAGTATACAAAAATATGCACCTATACACACTAGTATAAAAATGGAGTTGGGGTTATGTAGTTACCTAACCTTGTGCGATGCAGATAATGCAAGAGTGAATAAGTAAAAGTGGTAATAACATGTATTTTGAGAAGCCTGGGACTGCGAACGCAAAGCGGTCAAGAGAATTCGAGAAATGCACGCATAGGTTTCAAAAATAGGAAACGGCTAGAAGTAATTTAAAATGGCATGGGAATGTGCGTGAGAGGTGAGTATGATCGCGAAATGTGAAGGATAGTATTCAGGGGTTGTCAAGGTAGGGTTTACGAAGGGGGATCGTATCAAGTAAGGTGATTGAGGACTGCTAGCTGGTCGACAGTTCTTCTGATGCCTTTGCATTGAAATACTACGACAAGGAAGGATGTGATATACGTAAGGGGGATAGAGGATATGGTTTCGTTAAATTTTTTTCTTAAATGATATTTTATTCATAAATACCTATTTCCAGAAATCGTTAGAATGTATTATTATTATAATGTGCTTTATCATGTGGAAATTCATAAGACCACAAACTGAAATAACATTTAACAGATCACATTATCAATGGAAACATTTTTTTTTTTTCATACAAAAGACAATAATATATTAAGTACGATAAAGCTGCTGCACAATGCAAAATATAATAATTTTTTTTTCACATGTTAAACGATGTTTTATTAATTTTATTAAGAATAAACGAGCTACATATTTTTTTAAACTATGTTAATTTTATATTATTTATAATGAGTTTACTTTGAATACGCTTTGGCTTTTGAAATCTGAACTAGTTTAAATGGGTGTTCTTAGATAAACTGATAAACTTACAATAGAAAGTAAAATAATTATCTAGGATTAAGAAATGCAGTTAATGAATTTTAAAAATTAACATTAATATTTTTCAATAAGAATCATTATACAAAATAATGCTCATGATCACGTATAACTATTTATTTGTACTACAAAAATATAATTATCGTAAATAAATTAAAATTACCATTAGTTTAAAAACGATATATTTTATTATATTTTATTGTAATATATTATGATGATAAGTGTAGTGTGTTATAAAAATAAATATTTTTTCTGTATATCTATTAAAGTCATGAAAAAGCACAAATTTAATAATTATGGATTTTTTTTTTTGTTAATTGAGCATTTAATAAGAAAGTTCTAAGTCCATAATATTGACAACGTCCTATAAAAAATTATGAACTGAAGTAGTAACTAGTAAGTTTGTAAGGACATCCATATAAAATTATTTAAAATTTTAATCTTTATCGAATGTGAAATAAATACGATTGCACATAATCTAATTACGGTGTGATAAATAATTTATTAATAAAAATTATATTATAATAATAATGTTTTTCGGATTTTTAATTATGTGGTCGTACACAGTTTCTGTGATAATATTAATTAGCTATCAAAAGCTCTAATATTTAACAAATAAATGCAATATTTTATTATATAATTTATGAATAGTTTTTTCGTAACCAAATCATATAAATGCAATACAAGTTTAATATTTAAAAACAATTCAAATAATGAAATATTAAATTTTTGCATTCAAATTGATATTTTAAGTTTAAAAATAATGTACAACTTGATTATACGTTTATGGAGAAGTAAACAACTATATGTGAAATTCAAAACAAAATGTTTTTGAGATAAACCAATATAAGCTAAAACAATTATCGTTGTAGCTCAATGGCCACGATGTCAAAAGGTATGCTAATACAAAAAAATGTATATACATATTGTTGTATACCTATTATGTTATACTATAATGTGTAAAGCATCATATTTTTTTCATACTAGAAGTAGGTGTGACGATTTAAATTATTTCATAAATATTTTGAATTGTATACATTAAAATAATCAACAATTTTATAACATATAATATATCATCTATTATTCTGAATAACGAATATCAAAATTCAATTACTTATGTCAGAACTCTTCAAGAATATGTATTTGTTACAAATCATTGATTATTATAATTTTTAATATTGTATTCATTCATTTCAAATACAAATAAAAAAAAAGTGCGATACAACCTCCATCATAATTACATGTACACTATGCATAATATATTTCAAAATTCTTCTCGTGATTATTGGGATTTTTAATTTTAACAAAGTTACTCTCAAATCTCAGAGATAATATTGACAAAAAAGTAAAAGCAGAATTTATAGTTAATTGCATCCAAATTCACTTAAGTTGTAAATTTTATTTATTTTGTAAATCATTCTTTTAATGTTCTATTATATCTATCTTCTTTCACATGCTGCAGGAGTCCCACAGGATAGTGATTTATCCCCTGATCTATATAATGTATTCACAACAGATATTTCTCAATCTAGAAACACCCTTCTTGCAACATACGCTGATGATACAGCTGTTCTTTACTCCATTTCAAATTCAATCCTATATCTTCAGCTGCACTTCAGGATCATACTAATAAAATCGACGAATGTGCCAAAAAATGGAAAATTAAAATAAATACAGATAAATCTGTGCAAGTTACTTTCACGTTAAGACATCTCCCCGTGAGTGCCCTCAATTAATCATGAAAAACATCCCCATCACTGGTCGAACCGAAATAAAGTACTCAGACATAAAATTTAATAAAATACTAACCTGGGGCCACCAATTAAAAGAAAAAAGAAAATCAGCGAACAATAGAATTCATCTTCTTCAATCACTCATCAATTCCAAAACAAACTTATTATATATAAGTAAATTATAAGGCCAGTCTTGCCAGTGCCGTACCCAGGATTTGTTTTCGGGGGG